TACTCTTATCCAACTTAAGGGAGATCCATCAAGTTATCACTGACTGGAAAGAGGATGTGTTAAGTCATGACGTCCAGGACACGGCGGACATAGGTGCACCTGTTGCCCTATAATCACAGAGGCCAACAGACAGGAGGTCAGGCTTGGGGACTGACCTTTAGGGTCGGGTATGCTATATGGCCTCCTCCCAGATGAGGTAAGGAGGCAGATGAGCACTAAGAGAAGGGAAGCTGGAGTAAGAGACTCAAAGCCCTGGGGGGACAGTGGGGCATGGAGACAGGATGGGGCAGATGTGGGGCACACTGGCATGAGGGAATGGAAGGCCTTTTCCCCAAGACTGCCCAGATAGCCTGAGGAAGGGACTCACTGGGGACCACAGGGAATTTGTTCACAGAGATGAAATACTCCGTGATGTTGGGCAAAAGGGGCTGCTGTGCAGACAGCTCAGGAAGTCATCTCCTGGCAAAGGGTGATGAGGTTGGCCCTTCCGACCCATGTCTATGCAAGGAGTCGGCTGGCTGGCTGGCTGGCGCTGAGGCTCAGGCCTCCCCCACAGGGAAATCAGAGCTCAGAGCAGGGTCTTTATTAGCAAAGGCACAGCTTCTTGCCCCCTGCCCCATGTGTAGTCCATCAGGCAGAGTGGGGGTGACTTTCAGGGTTTCCTGGCCTCCCTCTCCATCCCCAAGTGACTGGGTCTTACCTCCTGGCCGAAGCCCCCACCCCACCCATTCCCCACATGTGTGCCTACTTCTCCACCAGCACCCTATCTTAGCACTGGGATCTGGCATTTCCTACGGCTGGTCCTTCCTTCCAGTCCCCTCGTAAGAAGACTGTTTGAGGGGCCCGTCTCCCCTGCAATGGACTTTGCTCGTGGAGCCTGGTGGCTGGACCTAGGGTGTGTATTTTTCCTATGCCTCCTCTATTGACCTTTAATTACACTGCTTGCCCAGCTCCCCACACCATTAACCTCCTCCTCACAGCAACCACACATCAATTAATGGAGGGCCTGCTCCCAGCTCGAGCTCCTGAACACAATTAAGCGTGACAGTCCACAAATAAGAAAGAACTAGAGAATTAATTAAGGTCTAAACAAATTAATTACCAGTCCCCAATCGATTCTGATGCCAGCACACATGCTTCTGGGCTCACTGTCTTTTCCTAACATCTCCGTATATAAATAGAAACTGAGATTTCCCACGTGATTGCTGCTCTAGACCAGGGCACAGCAAGGTTTAAAACCACCTTGAGGGAGAGAAGTGTTTGTGGGAGTGTCCTGGGGGCTCCCACTTACTCAGTGCACACACATGCGTGCTCATCAGTTGTGCACATGCCCACAGCAACCATGACTGAAAAACCAGGGTGGACCTGGAGCAGAGAGCTCTTAGAGGGACACTGGACACCTCGTGACCTCATCCCTTGGTTCCTGGACTGCAGGGGTGAGGGATCATCCAAGAGTGCTGGAAGCAGCCCTGGGCTGTGGCTGGGAGGTCTGGGTCTGGCCAGCTCAGGATAAATAAACCTGAATTTATTTATTCTTCTGTAAAACGGGGATACTGGGGATGCTTGCTCTGGCTTGGGGTCCCCCAGAGAGAGAATGAGAATTGAGGGGGAACAGAGGCCTGCTGGGGGAAGAGTGGAGAGTGTGGCACTTCTGGGAGTACCCAGCTCTGCAATCCCAGGAGAGGCCTGCAGGGACTGTCACAGAGGTCCCAGCCAGAAGAGCTGGTGGCCAGAGAAAGGGTGGGAGAGGTAGAGTCAGGCAGGGAGCCAGGAGTCCCGTGCCTGGAGCCTCAGGCCTCTCTCTCTAGGGCAGACTTCAGGTTGGAGCAAGAGTCCCGGCAGGCACTCGGCAGGGGAGAGGGACGAAGCTGCTGACTCCTGGAAGCCTTGTTTCTCAGAGAATGACATCCCAGCCTGCCCATTTGGGAGGGAGTAGAGACTGTGAAGGTTCATTCTGGTGCACGCACACGCACACGCACATGCACACATGTACACACATACACACACGTGCGTGCCAGGGTTTAATCCTATTACTCCCACTTGCCTCAACATTTCTTCTGTGTGCACTCATGGCTTGGCAAGACCTGTCTCCCCATTAGGCCAGGAGTACAAAGGGGCAAAGGATCCTTTATAAGTCCAGCAAGTTCTGAGCAATCTTTATGGTGACCTTCATGGTGGCCTGACCCAGTCTGGCCTAGCCTGCTGTGGAAAGTAGGGGTGGAGGCCTGGGGGAATCTAGGCCCTGTGGGCATGCAGAGATGCTGTTGTCTGGGGACAACATGGAGGAAGGCCAAGCACAAGGATTGCACAGTGGCCTGAGAGGACCAGGAGATTTTGAGGCCCTGGAAGGGAAGGGGCATGGCTACCCATCTTGTATACCACTGTGTCTGTGTTGACCAGGGGACTTTGCAAGTGCCCCTTTACAGGTGAGCCTGAATGGACCCTGGGAGCTAGAGAGAGGGAAGCCAGAAGGTGGGGGAGGAGAGGCTGGGGCGGGATGTGGGGTGGGGGTGTGCAAGGCAGGCAGGCACACAGCCAGGGCAGTGAGATTGAGGAAACAGCCTGCTTCTCTCAGGCTCCTGGCCGGAGACTATGAGGGCTGCAGACTACACTATGACACTATGTGCCACTGTGCAACTGGCCAGGATACTCAGGATCTTGAGACCCCTCAAAGGTGCTAGACCAATGCAAGCGAACTGCAGGACCCTCCCATAAGAAGATAGGAGAGGAATCAGACAGGAGCCCCAAAAGGGATAACTGGGGGATGTATCACTTATCAAAGTCTCAAGTGGAGGATGGCAGAAAGGATTAAATCCAAAAGCCCTGACCCTTGTCCTGGCGCCCCAGAGAGGTCACGACCACCCCCAAGGTCATGCAGCAAGATGGCTGGCAAAAGGGCTGGAATGGGCCCCTGGCAACGTCCTTATCTAAAGCTTGGCTCAAGGACAGATAACATCTCGGTGGAGCCCCAGATCCAGTCCAGTGCAGCTGAGAGCTGCCCCTTCTCAAGTTGCAGCTGACCCTTCAGTCCAGCATGGCAAGGAACGCAAGATCGGCAGCCGAGTTGGCTCAATTAGGCCCCTTAACAAAGTCAGATCTAAAGAGTTATTCCATTAATGGTCCACACCAGAAATAGCTGAGAGGTCATTAAAAGTGTGGAGTTGCTATAGCAATTATCTGGGTTGGCTGAGGATCAGCCAGGTGGTTGGTTTAGAGAGTTCATTAGCCTCTGGGCCATTGAGGAGGTGGGGCTGCCGAGTAAAGATCTCCCACCTTCTCATAGGGCTTTTCAGGTACTTCATAGCACTTTCCTATGAATGGAATCTGGTCTGTGGTCTCATTTGATCCTCCCATAGCTCTGAGGTATAGGAAGGTAGATACTGGCCCATTTTACAGATGGGACAGCTAAGTCCTGGGAGTGAGGAATGGGGCTGGGAACATGATCCTGGCTCGACTCTGGCTCTTCAGACTGAAGCTAGATACCAGGGAGGTCAAGGTTCTTGGTGTCACAGCCTCCTGAGCTGAACCCCGGCTTAGTCCTCTGGCATCACATGGGGAAGGGAAGTCAGGGTCGTGGTTCAAGCACTTGCTTAGCCTTCATATTTGACCACTAATCACTTGCTGCCTTGTGCTTCATTCAATCTGGCTTATATCTTTTCCATCTTTTAAAAAGTAACATTGGTTTATAACAATTGGTTTATATAGGTTTCTGGAGCCCTATACGTTGGCATCTATACATTTTATCTTAGTTCACCACCAGAAGTCTAGTTTCCATCCATCACCATATCTTTTTTTTTTTTTTTAAGATTTATTTATTTATTTATACAAGAACCAGGGTACAGTCCAGATGCATGGGAGGGTGAGAGGATTCACCAGAGACAGAGCGGGGAACAGAACAGGCAGAACTGACGAAATACACTACTGAGGGGAGCAGCCAGCGCGACAGGAGATGTCTGCTACGCCATGTGGGAACCTCGCCGGTGGCCGGGGATCGAACCAGCACTGCAGAGGCTGTGGGCAGCTTCGCAGCCCAGGTCTCAACCTCTGTGCCACCAGGGAAGGCCCTTCACCATATCTTTTTAATTTTAAAAAATTTTCCACTGCGGTGCCCTCTTCCCAAACAAGGTGTAGGCTTCCTAAGAACCAGGCTGGTCTTTGTAGGATTTGTAGGGCCCAGGCCTGGGCCTCTGTCATGAGCTCAGAGACTCCAAGACCAGCAGACTCACTGAAGGGAGGTAAAATCCCCTCCACACCTATGTGTGCACCCACAATACCTGACTAGAGGTGGAGGTACACCTAAAAGGCTCTCACCTACTTGAACACTAGGTGAGCAGGGTCTTGGTGCCTTCTTTTGTGCCAGGAAGCCCTCTGACAGTCTGGTGAGGCCTATGCACCCCTCACCAGTAATATTTCTAAATGCACAAGATAACACATAGGATGCCACAGGAACACCATTGAAATAAGTTATCCAGATAGTTTTAAATTGAGATATAGTAGTGGATATGCTTTCTAACTAATGGATTAAGATCTACCAGTGGATCAATTAAATATCACAATTTTGAATTCGTATTGAGCATAAACGATTTTAAGAACTGTAACATGACATGAACATGCCTCTGATTTCTGTTGGTGACAAAGTCACAAGTCCTGCTTGTCACTGTGGTGTACTGCCTACATTCTGGAAATGTCAAACTGCAGTTCAAGGTTAGCATAGATACCTCCCCAACCAAGTTCACAGCCCACAGCATTCTGTCTATTGACCCCTTGGAGGTCTGAGAGCCCCGGGGTAAGAGCTCCCATGCTAAAAGCGGAATCTTGGGCACAAGCTGGTGAGAGAGGGCCCTGCCACTCTTTGCTCCAGTGGGGCCAGCCAGGAGCCCCCCGGCATCAGGAGATGCCGGAGAGGTGGGGTGGGGCCATCCAGCTCCAGAGAGCCCCACAGCTCCGCATGCCCAGGCCTGACACACGTTCACAGACGCTCAGCACAGCGCCGGTCTTACCTACAGCAGGGAATGGCACGAATCTCTGGACCAGAAGGCGGGTGGCCGGGGTGAACTTGTTGGCTTTCTGAACCAGGACATTAAGGCCCACCTTGGAAAGAGAAAACAAAAAGTGCAAGGTGCTGCAGCTGCCCGGAGGAAGAGCGTGGAGTTAGGGGCACTGTAGCTGTGCCCAGACCCCAAATCTTCAGTGTGGCTATTTAAAGCACCACCACACAGGCATCCCAGTGAACTGGCCTGTCAGAAAGAGGGAAAGGGAAAAGCATCAACTGCACACACACACACACACACATACACAGGCACACACACAGCCTCCTGGGGAGCAGGGAGGGATGGTGGGGTAACTGCTGTTATAAGAATATATAATCTGTAAACAACTGAGGTGTAGGAACCCTTATTCCTACCCAAACTCCAAGCACCACCTTTTTGAGGCCCCACTCAGGGCCCAACCAGGTGGGCTCAGGAGAGAGACCTACGCACCTGCCCACAGAAAGGGGGTGCAGTGGACATCCTGGGCTCACTGTCCATTTTCCCTCAGACTCTGACTCCTCTCACTAGGCCCAGGACACATCCTCCTGCCCCAGTCCTTTGGCTTGTACCCTCCCCCATCCATCACCCATGTTGTGCTGTGTTCTAGAACACAGGTCCAATCACACCCACCAGCAGCAGTTCCCCACCACCCTGAAAGAAGTTACACTCTTCTTCATGCAGCAGTCTTGGCCACCAGCACCTCTCCCCCAACTGCCCCACACCCACTCTCCCTCCCAGAGCCCAGAGTTCATTGTGCTGCATGAGCTTCAGGCACGAAGCTTCCTTCTCTACTCAGTCCACACCAGGTCCTTGGCCCACCTCTGAGCTCTATCTCTAGCATCATTTGCTGACAGTGGGAGTCATTTAACCATTCTCTGCCTCAGTTTCCTTGTCTGTGAACAGGATAGTAACTAACATCTCTAGCAGCCAGGGCTGGTACAAGGATGTATGTATCATGTCTGGCATGAGTATGTGCATGGCAGGCCTCAATAAATGAAGCTGTATAATAAATGAAGCTGTACAAGAATGGGGTGGCCTCTCCCAGACAGAAGGTGGCTCCCTCGCACATGACCAGCCCCCTTTCCCAGCACTCAGTACCTGTTCATGGTCTGATGCCCATGGGGGCCGGGAGGACAGACCCGTGTCTTTTACATCTTCATGTGCCCAGCACTAGGGGCAGCGAGAGGCGCAGAGCACACGCTCAGAAAACTATGACTGAGGAATAGGCACATGAGCCAACAAAGAAATGAATGGCTGGAGAGAATAGCAAAGGCTGGTGTGTGTGTGTGTGGGGGGTGTCTTGGAGGAGGAGAATGTGGCACTAGGCTAAGAAGGGGAGGAGGGCCTTTTGGTGGGGAAACATCAAGAGCAGAGGCAAGGAAAAAGAAAAAGCAAGATGTAGATGGCCAGATGAGAAAACCAGGTCAAGGCCAAGAGTGTGGAAGCCTCTGTTCTCCCATACACAGGTCAGACTCAGTCCCTGCCCTGTGCATCTCTCCTTGCCCAGGGGGTCTGGGGCAGCCTGCTCCTGCTCCAGCACACCTACTGGCTCAGCAGGCTGCCCTGCACCCACAGCTGTGGCTCTGTTCTCCACCTTCTGGATTATTGGGGGTGTAGAGTTTTGGGAAGGTCTCCAGGGCTGCTGGGTGCTTGCAGCAGTCAAAACAGAGCACGGCCTGACAGGAATGGCTCTGAGATCTATAGGAAATGCCATCCAATCCTCTGTGGGATGCCCCCTGGGCTGAGTGCTGCAGGGCTTTAAGGCACCAGGGCTTTAAGGGTTGAAGCCTCAAGTTGATGCTCAAGATTTTGATTCTTGCCCTCTCTGCTTGCTCAGTAGAAGGCTGGGAGGCAGGGAGATGTGTGTCAACTTGGACACACTTTGGAAGTCCTAGTGGGGCAGGCTGGGGGCTGCCAGCCCACACTGAGCCCTGCTGTCCCTGCTTCAAGGCTGCCCCTGCCATGCAGATGGCACACATCAGGTCCAGGTCACCCCAACTCTCAGCAGCAAGTGGCTGTCAGAAATGGTCCCCTCAACTACTACCTCCCCCACCCCCGTCACCAATAGCAGAGAACATATTCCTACAGAGTGTACAGAGTGCAGCGGAGAAAGAGAGTCTAGAGGTCATAGTCAGACATTTGTGATGAAGAGAAGGAGGAAAGGGTGTGGGGAGAAGACAGCAAGCACCTGCTTTGTGCCAGGCCCTGGGCTGAACACATCACGTGAAATCCCCACTAAAAAAGGCTTTTAGATAGAGCAAGACTCTGAGAAGCCCAGAGAGGTTAAGTGACTTTGCCTAGGGACACACAACTATTAAGGGGCAGTTAAAGCTCAGATTTGAACCCAACATCTGCTAATTCCGAAGCTTTGCTCTTAAAGGCTGTGCTATTATTTGCTTTCTAATTGTCTTCCATCTCCAAGAAGAATGTTGTAGTGTTTGACATGCCATTTGAAACTGGCTGTTTGCATAGCAAAGTCTCCCTGAAAGGCCAGCTCAGGCTGTGCCCAGAGGAGTAGAAAACAGAACGCAGTACCTATAAGGGAAGGTGGGGCCCTTGAATCACCCCTGCCCCTGGCTGCTAACTCAAGAGATCTGCGTTCAAAAGCCCTACTTTCATTTGGAAAGATTCAGGAAGCCCCAGTGGTGGAGGGAGCCGGAGCCCTCCTGGAATCCAATTCCCTGAACTAGGACCCAGCCCTCATGCCCCCTTCCCTCCACCTACCCCACTCTTGGGCACAGGGCTGTGTGGAGGGAGGCAAGGAGGGATAGTGACCAAACACTTGCACTTGGCCCTGCCTTGCCAGAGGGAAGGCCTGGCACAGTCCAGAGTGAATGACCCACCTATCTCCCTGACTCCAAGGGTGGCGCAGGCTGGGGAGAAGGGAAGAAGAGAGGGGAAATGCCCTCGCCGCGTGTCATTCGGGGAGGCATACACATATTTCTGAGAGCATGGCCAACACTGGTTCCCAGGGAGAGGCTGGGCATCAGCAGGGAGGAAGCCTGTGCGTGTGTGTAGCCACAGCTCCAACTCAGAGCCTAGGTGGCCCCGTACCTGCCCTGATGCCAAGATGGTGGCAGGAATGATGATGAGTGGGTGGCAGGAAGGTACAAATATAGGGGAGGCAAGTAGCCACTCACCCCACTGCCCCAACAGCTCCCAACCCAGGCCTTTCTGTCCTAGCAGCTAGGATGGCCACCGCCTGGGAAGGAACCCAGGGTGGGCTGTAGACCAGGGCTGGGAGCCCGTCTGTTCTGGTTCCATAGGGCCCCTTTGGCCTAGAACATTTGGTGAAGCCCATTAAAATTAAAAAGCCAAGTGGCTGGTGGCTCTGAACGCCAGCTCGTTTTCTCTGGCATGGTGGGTCCTGTTTAAGGGAACCAGCTGGCATTAATGGCACACAACTCATCACGAACAGCAGCTAGCGATCAGAAAAATCTGAGCTAATAATCAGATTCGGGAAAGATAATGAGATATGGAACAATCGCTGCTGAGGGTCCCCCAGGGTCTGTTTTAACAGCCTCCAAATAAGTCACAAAGTAGAAATTAACCAAACAGGGGCTCCATTTTGGCGGAGGGGAAAACAAACAGGGTGTGGATTTTGCACAAGAATTCCCTGTCTGGCAGCAGATGGGGAACCTGGGAGAAGCCAGAGCCCAGGGCCAGCGGGACATCATCGACAGCCCCAGGAAGCAGTGGATCTTCTCTGGCCACTTCTCTCCAAACTCTGGCTTCCAAGCCTAGGCTGCTGACCAGAGTTGGAGGAAAGGAAGGAAGACCGGCTTCCCAGCAACCCCCGAAGCAGGGAGCAACGCTGACCAGCACAGAGAGATGTGGCTACAGTGGTCGCTCCATGACACAAGGCCTGCAGCATGCCAGGTATGAGGCTGACAACTGTATCCTCAAGTACCAAGACCTCTCCCCCGCAGGCCAGTAGCATCCTCACTTCTGCAAGACCAACAAGCAGACACCAGATGGGCCGTGACAATGCCGGCATCCCTGTTTCACCCGGGCGGTGTCCCCAGCACCATCCGTGCAATCCCCTGGAGGGGCCTCTACTTCGATGGATGTTGGGCACTCCACCTTCACACACCACAAACCAAAGGCTGTGTTGCCCTCACCTACACCCTGCCCTCCTCTCCTGCTCCCAGCTCCACTCCTCATGCCAGAAACCCAGGAGTGTCCCCAGACAGGAGCCTCTGCGGCCCATGCTGCAGGACTCCCAGAATCCCCCGGTTCTCTCTCCCGGATATCTTGAATGTGGCTACCTCTCTTTCTGTTGCCACCAAGTAGCTTGCAAGCCCTTCATTTTCTCTGGACCACTGCCCGCCTCCTAACTCAGCTCTGTGCTTGCTCCTCTCCCATCCACTCTACACGGCAGCCAGAGCAATCTTCTAAAAATGGACAGCAACTTGCTCAAAGCCTCATGCCAGCTTCTCACTGCACTTCAAGACCTGAGATCACCGGCCCTGAGTGATCTCGGGTCTTGGTCACGAGGCTCTGGGTCCCTCGGTATCACACCGCTCCTCCGATGAGCCTGTCCCTTCCTCTTGCTCTCTACCCTCCACCCACCCTTCCTGTCTCCCTCCTCTGGGCTTTCAAGAGGTTCCCTCTTCAGGCAGGACTCCCCTTTACATCCTCCCATAGAACCTGAAACTCTTTCTTCCTGTACCTATCACAGTCTCCAAGTATATATTGATTTGCCTGCTTAAAATGTTGGGAAGCAAAATAATACACGTATATGATGAAAAAACTGAATCACACAAAATTATTTTTATGTATGGATTCTATTAAGTATCCATCTCTCCCAATCAGCCCAAAACACTGAGGCCAGGGCCAGACTTCCAGGTGCCTGGTGAAAAAAGTAGGTGCTGAATAAATGGTTCTGGAATAAATCAAGTGAATGACTGCTAAGGCAGGAAAAAATAAAGCCACAAAGGAGACTTGCCTTGTGCTGGCAGAGTGGTCCATCTTAGCAAGCACTGGCCACTGCGGCCTAAATCCCCGAGTGGAGGGTTCACTCACTATGCTAGGAGGGACGCCTTGACAGAGTGGCCCCAA